AAAAAAAAAAAAAAAAAAAAAGAAAGAAAAGAAAAGAAAAGAAAAGGGAGCACCCACACATCAAGGGTGAAAAGATAGGCTTTGAGGGGACAGTGCCCAGAAAGCACCTGCTTCCCACACTGAAGTCAGAGCCTGTGTATGAAATGCCCAGGTGCTTCCTGGGCTCAGGCTTCTCCTTCTGCTACAACCACAATCATCATCATTTCCATAAAGGTCTCTCTTCCATGCCAGGCAGTCCGATCCCCAGAGGGTGAGGACCATGTTTTACTTCCCTGTGCATTCCCAACAGCTGGTGCAGTGGTGAGTAGCTAAGAACTTAGCTACAGAGAATGCTTGTGGAATCAATGGATGAGAGATTGAGAGGAGCTCAGTCCAGCTGTGGTCCCCTCTGTCACACCCTCTCAGTCATTCTCCTTCTCCCAGAACTCAAGTACCCCCCCCCCGGCCCACGGCCTCACCTCCCATGAGGAAGAGCAGCCCTGCCACATACTGCATAAGGCCCCGGTCCCAGCAGCAGCCCAGCACACCGATGATCCAGCCAAAGAGGATGATGGCCACCGCCATGCCCATGAAGCCGGCTGTCATTCTGCGCAGGTCTGTGGGGAGAGAGCAACAGTCAGTGTCCGAGCCAGGGACTCAGGGCCAGGGAGAACCCTGCCCCAGGGTGGGGGGGAAGAGGGCCCCAGGAGCCGAAAGGCCACCCAACCTTTCAGAGAGGAGAGAGCCTCCTGGTGACCTGGTCCTTGTGTGTAAAAACATGCTGCCACAGTTTGGTTCCTAAGTACAGGGAGAGACCATCACATGACAGTGGCCACTAGTAAGGGCTGGAACTGGCACGAGAATCCTCACCTATCTGGCTCCCCAGTCCCAACCCCAACATCGCTCAGAATCTCTGAAGAGCTGAGAATCAGAGAAATGGTTCAAGCTGGGCAGGGCCGGGCAGTCAGGCTGCACCTGCCAAGGCCTCGCCCTTCCCTCCAGGCTGTGCTGGGCTTTCTATGACAGTGGTTCTCAACCTTCCTAATGCCTCCTAATGCCACAACCCTTTAATACAGTTCCTCATGTTGTGGTGACCCACAACCATAAAATTATTTTCATTGCTACTTCATAACTGTAATTTTGCTACTGATATGAGTCATAATGTAAATATTTGATATGCAGGATGTATTTTCATTGTTACAAAGGGGTCATGACCCACAGGTTGAGAGCCACTGCTCTAGGAGGTCAAGTGCGAGAGAGGCTGAGGGTTTGGTGCTTGGTCCTTCCGCTGTGTGTAGGCTTGGGGCCCAGTCTTCCCCACATGGGGGCTGTGGGGTGGGGAACCACACACCACACACTCCATGTGTGCCTGGAGCAGCCCCCAGCTTGCTCTGGCTTCTGCCTTTCCACCCTGGGACATCCCAACTTTCTGAATCAAACCCTTCGCCGCCCCATACCTGGCTGGCCCAACAGCTCTGGGAGGCAGAGGGTTGTCAGGAAAGGCAGTGGATTTAGCAGAAGGGAGAAGGCAGAGCTTCTGCTGTGGCTCAGTCAGCCACTCAGCATCTGTCTCGACCTGGTGTCTCCCGGCTGCTCCTGCCCTCCTGCACCCAGCGGTAGCCAGGGCTGCATTCACACCCTCCCTCCATGTGCCCACTGCACCCCAGCCCCAGCAGCTTCTGCACACCTTTCTCATCCTACATTCCTTCCCTGTGTCACGCCACCCTCTCCTTCCACTGCCCCAACCCTTCTCCACACCTCCCCGCCCAAGCCTGTGCCCCAGCCCAGCCCTACCCTGCCGGTGCGCACACAAGAGCAAAACCCTTTGTCCTGCGTCTGCCCAAGGGTCTGGCCTCCTAGGGGTTTCAGAGCAGCCTGGAGAACCTCATAGGCATTTCCTTCTCTCAAAGGGAGGGGTGGTAGCGGGAGGGTGGTGGGAAGGGGTCCTGAGAACATGCAAAAACACCAGCTACTGCCCAGTCTCTTTGACCCATGAGGAGCAAATACCCCACAGGTTTCTGTGGGGAACAACTTGGGGTCTCAGAACTGTGTCCCACCCCTCCCCTCCTTACTCTCCCGCCAGCTGACCTCTGGGGAAGCACAGCAGAGAAAGGCTGGCACAGTCTGGCCTGAGGCCCCTCTGTCAAGGGATCTGCCCACCTCTTGTCCTGACACTGCCCATCAGACACTAGTAGACCCTTGCCCCCCTCACTCCTCATAAGGTGGGCCCACAGAGACAGCAGGACAAGGCCCTCATCATGGGCAGAAGTCCCTGGTGAGCCACAGGGCAGGTTCCTTCTCTTCCCAGCCCTCCCTGTCTCCCCTAGCTGACCTGGGGTGCCTGCCCAGCCGAGTAGAAATAATACTCCTTATGGTCACTTATGGGAACTGCCAAGGACACCTTATTATCGAGTAGCCCTGGACTGCCTACTGTGCTTGATGAAACTTTGTTAAAGCATCATGAGATTACAGTAGGAACATGTGAACCGCACTCGCTTCCTGCAGCACTGGCCATGGCCAGCCGGGAGCGCAGCAGAGCAGAGAGAAGCATTTCTCCCTTCTTATTGGACCACCTGTGCTGGCTGTGCCTTCCGTCTCCCCAAATGCTCTCTCCATGCCACCTGCCCGTGTCCTTAGTCACTGCTGCCTCCACCCCATGAGATTACAGTAGGAGCATGTGAACTGACTATTTGTCAAAAATCGTTGGTTGTAAACATGTGGCTTTATATCTGGGTGTCCCTTCTGTTCTATTGGTCTATGTGTCAGTTTTTAACCAATACTGTTGATCCTATCAACAGATGATTGGTCAGAGAAAATCTGGTATGTATGCAGAATAGGATGCTGTTTGTTCATTAAGAAAAATAGGATCCTGTCATTTGCAGAAACATAGATGGAAGTAGAAGTCATTATGTTAAGCGAATTAAAACCAGACACAGAAAAACCAACATTGCATGTCCTCTCTCACACGTGGGAGCTAATAAAGAGGATCTAATGGAGGTGGAGAGGAGGAAGATTGATAAGGGAAGCTAGGAAGGGTGTGTGTGGGGAGGGGTGATGAGAGGTTGGTTAGTGGGATCAAACACACACTTAGACAGGAGATAAGTTTTTTTTTGGTTTTTTTTTTTGAGAGAGAACCTCAAGCTGTCCCCCTGGGTAGAGTGCTGTGGCATCACAGCTCACAGAAACCTCCAACTCCTGAGCTCAAGCAAGTCTCCTGCCTCAGCCTCCCAAGTAGCTGGGACCACCGGCACCCACCACAATGCCTGGCTATTTTTTGGTTGCAGCTGTCATTGTTGTTTGGCAGGCCTGGGCTGGATTCCAATCTGCCACCTTAGGTGTACGTGGCTGGCGCCTTAGCCACTGAGCCACAGGCACCAAGCCAACAGGAGATAAGTTCTAATGTTCCATAGCAGAGCAGGGGGACTATAGCTAACAATGTACTGTATGTTTCAAAGTACGTGGAAGAGAGGATCTGGAATGTTCCCAATGCAAAAAAAAAAAAAAAAAGATAAATGTTCGAGATGATGCATATCCTAAATCCTCTGACTGATATTACACATTGTATGCACGTACCAAAACATCACACGTACCCCATAAATATGTACAAATACTATGTATCAACAAGACAAACAAACAGAAACCCGGAAGGTCTAAGAGGGCAGCACATTCCTCTTCTGGGTCCTTCCCTTGTGGTACATGAGGGTGGGTCTGTCTAGTGCAGTGGTTCTCAACTTTCCTAATGCCTCCTAATGCCACACCCCTTTAATACAGTTCCTCATGTTGTGGTGACCCACAACCATAAAATTATTTTCGTTGCTACATCATAACTGTAATTTTGCTACTGTTATGAATTATAATGTAAATATCTGATATGCAGGATATATTTTCATTGTTACAAGGGGTCGTAACCCACAGGTTGGGAATCCCTGGCCTAGGGGAAACCCTGTCCCCTTTGGCAGCACTAGTGAGGCTGACCCTGCTGACCCCTCCCTGAGACAGGCACGGACCTGCTGAGGCCTGCCCTCACTTGGCCCTGCTCATTGGAACACTGGTTCCCAGGTTCTGCAGACCCAAGTGGGCAAAGTTACTGCCAGCGGGATGGAATGGATAATGGGTCACAGTAAGGGTTGTCCCCTCTAACCAGGGAGGGAAAGTGGGCAGGAAAACAGAAGGGAAATGCAAGTCAGAGAAAGAAGGAAGGTGACAATTACTGGGGGACAAGAGCAAAGCGTTTTACTTAGAAAACAAAAGGCAGAAAAGCAGAGAATGGAAGGAATAATTTTTCTTCCAAAAGTTCCAAGTATAAAGGAAAATACAATCTTGAGCCCTGCAGCTGACTGAATGGGCCCCTCTTGGCCAAGGGGAAGTCAGACATATCTAGTTACTCAACAGCCCTTTTGGAGTTATTCTCCGTAATAGTAAGATACAAAATCATCAATAGGCCTAAGGCCACATAAGGCAAAGGTTTAACCTGCAGGTCATCAACTTACTTGACAGATTCCTTGAGTCTTGGTGTCTAGTGTATATCCAGTGACTTGTCTCTGATTAACAGACTTCTTTAACTAAAACGTTCCAAGCCAATCAACAAAGCTTCGTTTCTTAACCAATTACAAACCAAAGAATCTTTAAACCCATCAAATATCCTTCAAGCCCCCAGTTTAAAATGTCCTGCCTTTTCAGGCCAAACCAATGTATGCCTTGGTTTGGCCTGAAACCAAATACATAATGATATACAACTTCCTGTATAATTCCTGTCTCCCTTAAAATGTATAAAACCACTAAAAATAGACCTGCCGTTCGACCCTGCAATTCCTTTATTAGGTATATTCCCAGACGACCAAAAATCCCATTACAACAAAGATATTTGTATCAGAATGTTTATTGCAGCCCAATTCATAATTGCCAGGTCATAGAAGAAGCCCAAGTGCCCATCAATCCACGAATGGATCAACAAACCGTGGTATATGTACACCATGGAATATTATGCAGCCATAAAGAAAGATGGAGATTTTACGTCCTTCATGTTCACATGGATGGAGCTGGAAAATGTTCTTCTGAGCAAAGTATCACAAGAATGGAAGAAAAAGTATCCAATGTACACACCCCTATTATGAAAGTTATACCTTTTATATGAAAGCTATAACCTAATAACAGCCTAAGAATACGGGATGGGGAGAGGGAGAGGGGAGAGGGTAATGGGTGGGGGGGGGATTGGAGGGATCACTTCTGAGGTTTATCTTACAAGGGTACAAGTGAATCTTTCTAAGAGCAGAATGTGAACGTTTTAAAATAATAACTAAGAAAATGACACGAAGGCTATGTTAACCAGTTTGATGGAGGTGTTTCGGATTGTATGTGAAAACCCCACACTGTACCCCAGAAGTGCATTAATGTACATAGTTACCATTCAATTAAAAAAAATGTATAAAACCACTTGTAACCCAACCACAGGGAGACCACGTGCCAGTCTTCCTAGGTTTGGGTCTTTGGGCCATGGCTGCATCTATTTGGTTCAGAATAAACCTCCTTACAGACTCTGGGTTCTTTTCTGTTGACATGAGACAGACAATCGTCATCTGCACCCCAGGTCAGGGAGGGATGGTTGACCTCTGACACC